GTTTGCATATCATTGAGGCCTCATGTATTAACATCTCCACTGGGGAAGGGGTCGCAGCTTAGAAAACTTGGTATTCTAAAGCTCCAAACTTGTAATTTCACACCTTCTAATCATTCTCAAGTTCCACTACCGTCAAACACTAGACGGAATTTTCCAACTTTTTCATGATGATCCCGGCCGTCTGTCTCTTACAAGTTGTTTTTCTTTCTTTGAAGCTGATAGAAACATCTCGAAGTCGTACAGTTTACCTAACCCTAGTGCTAAGCATGTTTCCAAGTTAAACAAACGATGTATCGGAGTTATGAAAATCTCGATGAACCGCCAGTCGAAACTTCGGAGATTAAGTTAAGTGAGATGAGACTTGGTTTTGCAATCAAATGTGATGCATTTTCTTATCTTAGGGCCGCATGCACTAACATCCCCGCAGGAAGGAGGTCGCAGCTTAAAAGAAAGCTTAATATTTCGGAACTCCAGATACCTGGATTTCACATTTTGTACTTATCCGTAAGTATTCCTACTACCCTTCACTATGAACATGTTGAAGAGGAGCGAGAAGCTGTACGAACCACACTTTCCAGCTTTAGTATGATCCCTGATGATCCCCGGCGCTTTTCTTTGAAGTCATTTTTCTTTCTCCAAATTTAACGAAAAGTTTCCAAAGTTGTGCAGATTATCTAACTCAACACTGCTTAGCATGTTGCTGATAAGAACAAGTGAAGTATCAGAGTCATGAAATTTTCGATGACCCACAGGTCGAAATTTGAGGTTTACCGAAAAATTCGCGTTTTCAAAAACTCATTTGTTCTCATCAGCAACATGCTTAGCACTGTTGTTTTAGATGTTCAGTACAACTTTGGAAGGTTTTCGTTAACTGTGGAGAAAGAAAAATGACTCTAAAGAAAAGCGCCGGGGATCATCAGGGATCATACAAAAGCTGGAAAATGCGGTTCGTACAGCTTCTCGCTCCTGTTCAACATGTTCATAGTGAAGGGTAGTAGGAATACTTACGGATAGGTACACAATGTGAAATCAGGTATGTGGAGTTTCGAAATATAAAGCTTTCTTCTAAGCTGCGATCCCCTCCCCAGCGGGGAGGTTAGTGCATGCGGCCCTTAGAGTGTTTATTGATTGAAGTGCTGATAATTATCACTGCTTCTTAGAAGCGCTAGAAAAAAGCCACGACTGTTTTTGTTCTACTTTTCGTCCTTCTTAAATTTTAGCAACCCATTGTATCTCAAACGCACATTCAATTTTTCGTTCTGGTAAACGTTCGTAGCTTCTTCATAGATGTTCCGCAGAGAAGGGAGGCAAAATTGGAATCACGTTTTGTGCTCTCATTAGTACAAATTTCATGTAAGAAAGACACTTTCACTAAACATGCCTCACTTTGATAAATCTTGAGTTCTCCAGCATGCCGACTTTCTGGGTGTAGAAATCCTATCTCATATGGTTTTCTTTTCCAAAAGTGTAATAACCGAAGCCATAATTGTATCGAAACGAATGTGTCGTTTCCAGCCCTATAAATTTCTTCCTTGGCATCAAAAGAAAACGTTTCTCACATCAGACTGTTTCCCACAAGCTTCTCTGTTCTAGCTTGTGTCCAGCCGTGGTAAAAAAAATTATTTGAGTAAAAAAGCAAACTTTCTCCAAATTGATGGCTCTAAGCCACCTGGGTGCAATTTTTACCGTTTTTTCTTCCACTGGGTGATCGCCAGCTCAAACGTTGAGTAAGTACAGGAGCAGACTCATTTTGTTCCCTCCACTTTTCTAAGGCTTTGCTTGGATATCAGACAAACTAGTTTTGCCTTTTCATATCCTTTATCCAGTTTTTTTCTGTCCTTCATTTTCGCATTCATCGCTTGCAGCAAATCGTCTACTTTTGTCGAATAAATTTGCTTTACTCTTTGCAAGAATAAAAGCCATTCTGTTTAAAAAATTTTCAGAGGTTACTGGCGACGCCTGTGATAGCACAGAGAAAAGAATAATCAAGAGACATAGTGAGAGATTCGCAGCGCCTATGAATGCTAACATTAAGGGCGTAAATGCCAATCGCTCTAAGTGAACTTTGATAAGTAAACATTCAACGCTGAAGCAAAGCTTTGAGGCAAAATCAGTTGTTCATCGTCACATAGTACTAGCCAGATTTCAGATGTAGAACAAGAACAACGCTAAAATTGTGCAACTTATTAGAGCTGCAAGTTGCAAACAATCTCGCAAGTGCAGTAACTTCTTGAAATGTCGAAATTTGAGTTAACGTGCTTCGCTGAAATGGGATTGAACTCAAGAACCTGGGCTTAATTCAATCCATAGCGGCGCAAAATATGATCTTGGACAAATTCCCTATTCCTGTACTCAAGCACAATGCATATGTGCTATAAGGAAAGTCGGGTCCGCTTTAGGTGGAAGAGGTCCCAGTTTTTTCGGACATTGAAAGGTAAAAGGGAGTAAGTGAGCTTCACAAAAGTGACAATTCGGGAGAAAAGGGACGAATAGATAAACAGTGCAAAGTTTCGATATAGAAAGTACTCTTCTGGTTTGCTTCAGTGGGTCATAGAAGAGAAATTTTTTGATGCAATACAGCTGTTTGTTTGCCCAACTGACGACATTGAGAAGCTTAAAGTACTCGAATAATAGACATAGACGTCTTCTTTCTCTCTACAAACTGCACACCTTTAGATGCTCATAAAACGCTCTCAAACTTATCTTTTTCTGCAGAATACTTTTGTGGACGAAGCTACAAGCTAACTACATTGCCAGCTAGCCAATGTAGCTAGCTAGCTAGCTACATTGCCATGTCAGCGTAAGCCGCAGTTACAGTTGCTTGCAATTGCAACTACTGTTACAGTTGCAAGCAACTACTCAGATAACCGCCGGGGGCAGGCGGCCATGCGAATTTTGAGCAAGCGCGCACCGGAAAAATAGTTCGTTGATTTTTTGCGGCCCGCTTGCAGAAATTTGGAAGAAAGTTGGCAAAATTAAAGACGAATGCTTGAAGAACAATCGCGGTTTCTTTATGGATTAGCTGCGGCGCAGTGGCCGCATTCTCGCGGACTTTCCGCGAGAATATGCAAAAATTTCGAGGGCCGCACGTTCCTTTGTGGAGGACCGCGCAACCCCCAGGTACTTTCCGCTGAGAGAAAGTACCTCAAACTTGAGTAATTGAACCAACGGTGACACTTCTGCCACACAGAGTCTTATCTGTGTATGCTCGAAACTGCTTAAAAAGAGTCCGACCGCTTACTGAAAGTTTGGCCAGCGCTCGCTGAAAGAAATTATTTGCCGAGCGCTTGCAAAAAATGCTATGTTCTCAGATAATCGCCGGGGGCAGGCGGTCCGCAAACTCGCGCTTTTCTGCAGGCGGTCAGCAGGATTTCGGGGCGTGGCCAAATCTTCCGCGGGCGGTATTTGCGTTTTCTGCAAGCGGGCATCAATACAAAATTTTCTGCAAGCGCTCGTCAAACAATCTCTTTCAGCGAGCGCTGGCCAAACTTTCAGCAGGCGCTCAGACTCTTTTTACGCAGTTTCGGGCGTACGCCGAGAAAAGATGAGACTCTATGTGGCAGAGGTGCCATCGATGGTTTTATTACCCAAGTTTGGGGTACTTTCTTTCAGCGGAAAGTACCTGAGGGCTGTGCGGTCCTTCAAAAAGGACCGTGCGGCTCTCAATAATTTTGCATGTTCTCGCGGAAAATCCGCGAGAATGCGGCCACTGTGCCGCAACTTATGTATAGAAAAACCGCGATAGATCCTCGAGCGTTCGTCTAAAAATTGGCCAAAATTATTCCAAATTTCTGCAAGCGGACCACAAAAAATCAGCGAACTATTTTTCCGGTGCCCGCTTGCTCAAAATTCGCATGGCCGCCTGCCCCCGGCGATTATCTGAGTTGCTGCCCGCTGGCAGAATATGCGACCATAAAGGAAGTGCCGCCAGCTGAAGGTTTGGCCACGCCCCAAAACTCTGTTGACCGCTTGCAGAAAAGCGCGACTTTGCGGACCGCCTGCCCCCGGCGATTATCTGAGAGGGCGTTTGTACTAGTTTCGCAACCGAGTCTTGCTTCATTTTGAAGCGCTTTTGGGCTTTTTTCGGCGAAGCATGACGGATCTCTTACGGTTTACCTGCAATAACTTTTGGAAGAAGCATGATTGCGCACAATTGATTAGCGTTTTCGTTCTTGAGATGCGGTCCTTAATGGCTCGGAACCGTCTTCAAAGTTCCTACTGTAATTCTACAGTAAAAGTGAGTGATCGCCGATTCGCTCTACACTGCAAATCTAAGTCAAAGCCAGCTTTACAAAATGATACCTATACTCTCGAAGACAAGAGAGTTAATGACAACTTAACAGTAGGCATAGTTTCGGAACAGAAGGCTATAGCAACTATTATTAGGCCTTGATGTTGACCACTGAAAGTGCGTCCACGTAAAGATTGTTGAGGCATCAAGGAAGACCGATATTTTCACCGATCGCCAACAGACACTCTGACTGAGAGTGACACCAGCGCGGGGTAGAGGGATTATACTATCGGTGATCGGTGCTTGTGAAGCCGGCAGGCTGCGCTTTCACTTGTAACCTCATACGCCCTTGTTATAGTTCACCCGCAATTTAAATGAGAATAAACATCGAACAATACCTGTTATGTTTTTAGTTTTTTGCAAAGGACAGTGTAAAGGCTACTGCCTGACGAGGGTGCTGAAGCAATATTCAGTTAGGCGCCGTATCTTCACAGCCGCTACAAACCTTGCGCTTCATGCGTCCGCGGCTAATGAAAGCGCAGTCGCGCCTTTGGGTATTGCGCCGTTATTCGGCGGCGGTAGCCTTTAAGGTGCTCGCTAGGCTAATATAAAAACTCGAACAGCAGACTCCAACTTTGGTCCAGGCAAATCCACTGGTGGTAAAACAAATTTACTGATAGATTCAGGTATAGTGTGCTGACTTTGCCACACTCTACAGAAATTGTACAACTCAATGATATAGCGTATAGCGTCTACCCAAAAAATTGCAGGTTATCATCCAGTCAAGCCCAAAGCGCTTCTTGACAACCAGTGAAATCACCTGTATTGCCAATGGTTTCGTAACGCGACCATCATGGGTATCAGTTTTGGCAAGAAGATGGCGGTAAAATGGGTTAGTCAAGAAAGTGAGGAGAAATTTGTCGAAGTGGTTAGAATGCTGTGCATGCTGCTAACTTGAAGTGCTGATTTTGAATCCACCATTTCTATCTGGCAAATGTTTTTTTTAAATCACACAAAGTTGACTAGATCTGTCGGTAAAGATAATGTCCTTACTGTGCCCATCTTGCAATGATACTTGCACTTGAACAAATAGCTGCTCTTGTGATAGTGGCAGTTTCCGAGCGCAAAACGCCATTTAGCCGTAGTTACCTGCACGTGCAAGTATAACCTCAAAATCTCGGCACCACAAAGGTACTACAATCACCAACAATTCTACTCGACTTACAGTGGATCTCCAAGGAAAGATCTCAAGTTGCAACAACAATTTGAAGAAAAGGCAAATCATTAGATCTCATGAGGGAAGGATACTTGGTCGAAGTGGAATTTCCATATGAAATGTATACTCTTTCACAGAGCATGGAACGCTGATTTTGGTTCCAATTTCAGTATCTGCAAAGGACTTGAGAGGGGAGTCATGGCAATTTTTTGCGCAAAAGTCAAGAGTTTGGCTAAGCTAAAAACAGATATTGAGGTCTTTCCGATGCTTGAAAGGATAATGATTAGTATTTGTATGTTGTACCGAAGGTATTAGCTGTATAAGGCGCTGTGGCAGTATTCATGGCCCCATCCGAGCTCATATGACTACAGTTGTAGATGATTTTGTTGTAACCACGCGTTCGAACTTCGCTTCAAAAAATTCCCGCAGCTCTTCCCCCCTCCCCTTACAGGGCTTCATAGATACCGAAAGCAAATTTAGAATCAGCGTTCCATGCTCTATAAGGCAATATACATTCAATGTTGAATCACCCCTTCGATCAAGTATTCTTCCCTTGTCAGTGTGCCAACCTCATATCCATTATCTCGAGTGTTTCTAGAAAAAAAAATGAGCGCTTGGGTGTCTGAGGTCACCAGGGTTTTCATGCACAATATGCTTCAAATTCAAGCGTGAGAGAGCGTGACTGGCATAACACATACTAACCACGAAAAAGAGACCATTCACCAGGAGTATAAATGATCGTCTCTGAAAAGCTCTTTTGTCAGATTTAGATTTGCTATCATTTATGACTACCTATTAGAAATCGTTCAATAGGTTCGAAGACATAATTGCAGACAACTCATCAAAACGCATTTAATAATTTTCTAATGAATTTTCGGATCGCTTGCGCACTCGGCAGCTATTGCTTATTATCTAGAGAAATTGTAATCATACGCAAAGATAACGCCTTTTGAGTATCCTATTTTCAGGTGTATAAGCCGCACCCTTTTCGCTCTAAAGGCGAACACGCCAAAAGACTGACTGTCATCATGGAGCGCGTTAAGTGAGAGCAGTATGCGATAAGGCGATCGCTTCGCGAGACATATGCGTGGCGGCACGCTTGGGTCTGCTCGCGTTTGGAGCAAAAAGGGTGCGGCTTATATACCTGAAAATAGTGTAGTATGAAATTTCCCTATTTTCCTTTGAAAACATTTGCCAGATAAAACCCTAAGTTTAAGACTAACTTTGCATCTCTGAAAAATAGCCACTTTGACCAAGAGTCTTCCTCTAATCGACATGTGTGATAGATGATACTACCCTAACAACTTTCTAGGTTTCTTCCAAAAGATCACAACTAATAGGCGCATGTGCATTCTTCTTCATAACATACGCCGTTATCGCCTCTCTACCAGTAAAGTTTACAACATATGTATAATTGTGCTTGATTCTTATCCTTTGCAAAACTCAAAATTGCAGCAATCTCCAACGAACAATATCCTTGAAAGAAGCTGTTCCTGCTCACATAAAAATGTCACGTACGACTTCTGTTATCATTTACCTAAAAATCGGATGATCAAAGGAAGACCTTTTGATTGCAACTTCTCAACGTACCTTGAGGAACTTGGTTCGTATACCAACAAGTCTTACAAAAATGAAACTGCAATTTTCAGAGATTTTGCCATTAAAGAAGATTGTAGATTTGGTGACTGAGGAAATGCCCGTTCCCGCCTTTGTGACCGCAATGTCTCAAAACCATTATGCAGAAGGACTCACACTGGTACAGCTTTATCTACAAATTTAGCACTTTTACTGCTGGATTTGCGCTAAGGTCACTTTCTACTTTGTTTCTTATTGTAATGATGTGTTTGACTGCGAAAATTTTCTGACATTCAAAGAAGAATTTTTTGCTTGACCTCAAAAATATGCCGCGAAAAGTTAGTTGAATGCTGATATACAGTGTCATATCTATATGACCTGTTCGCGAACAGGCTAAGCAAGGTAGACCTGACCCTTTTCTGGACTAGTCACGTTAATTACACAAGCTAACAGCTGCGAGGAACAGAACCTATGTCAACTACTTACTATTGAATAGGAGCATTTCTATATTTATCGTCACATTCTTCGCGCTGCTGCATCCCTATATTCTTAGGTCTGTATTGGCTTGAATGATGTGTTATCAGCCATCTTGTCGCGTGCCATATACTGGAAAGCGTTGGTATTGGAGGACAAGGTGATTCTGGCGGCGCCCTCGGTGGTCTTGAATGACCCGCCGATGCAAAATCATTGGAAAGCAAAACGCTACTCCGGAGTTATCACTTTGTCTTATTGTTAGATGGGACGACACAAAAAATGAGGATTAATCCGCACTTCATTTTTAGAATCAAAAGTTGAATATTTTGTCTTAGTGTCTAGTTTTTAACAAATGTTTATATTGAGTAGCTGCTCATCTATCCTTATTCAGGTCACATGCCGCAACCAGTTCGCTCCTAACGCGAGCAGACTTGAGCGCAATCGCGCGTGTGACTCGTGAAGCGGTCGGTCTTTCCCACCTATTTCCTCAGTCAGCGCGCCTCATGGCAGCATATTCCTTTGACTGCTTGTTTTTGAAACAATTGGTCTGCGGCTTGTATAACTGGGAATGGGGTAATTCTCACTTGTTTCGAGGGCATCATTTGTTCCTCGAAACAAGTGATGATTAGAATTGAAGGAGCTTGTAAGAATTAGAATTGTAAGGAGCTACCTGAATTAGCTCGGCCTTTCGGCAAGGGACATACATATTCTGGATCGTTTTCAAACGCTGAGTCCAAATATGATAATCCTAGCTGCCGCGCATCATTTCGAAACGAGATATGGGCTTTTTTCTATACTTTTTTATTCTTGGCAGACTACTGAACATGGGAAGACTGCCCGTATGTAAAAATCAAGAAAAAAGGTGCTTAGAAATCGGAATAACACAAATCCAATTATTTCTCTTTAGCAAGAAGCTTAACACAAGTGTATTAGCACTTAGATGATGCCCTGATCCAATAAGTCGATTAGTGTGCCAATTTTGCAAAGAAAAAAGCCCAGTTGAAACGGTGCGCGGCAGCTAGAATAGCGTATCTGGAATCAGTGTTTGAGACTGATTTACAGTATATATGTCCCTTGCCAAAAAGCTGAGCCGCTCAGTTAGGTAGCTTCCCTTGTTAGTGGAAAGACTATCCAATGTTCTACATATCCTTACTGGTTTCCTTCTTTTCCAAAACCTGAAGGCGAAAATTCGGTTTGATAGAAGAGCGCAGTTTGAGTAAAGACACCCTGCTTACACTTTTGTGAAGTAAATGTGGAAGACAAAAGAGCATTCGTGAGCAAGTTTCGTTACTACAAAGATATAGATATAGAAATAACTGTATAATGGCAAATTTTTAGAGCGATCTCCTTTTGCAGATTGCGAACTTGCGTAGCTTGTGGCCACGTCAGAAAGTAATTGTGTACGATTTGGGTCTTGATCCAGAATCAAAGAAGGAACTGCAAGTGAGATTTTGGAAGCTGATACTTGCAAAATAACAGCTCAAGAGCATTCTCTTGTAGGTACATTTCAGAAAAAGTGTTTGGTGGAAGTGCGCAGCTTTCCATTTGAACGTTTTCCACGTTATGTGCATGATTTGACGCAGTTTAGATGGAAACCTCTCCTCATAGGTGTTAGTGAAATTCTTAAAGTGAATAAAGCCCACATGCATTTAGGCAGTGTTTGGATAAGAACCCGATTTTTAGCACAATCCTTATCTGAGGTTCGCGAAATCGGCGAAAACATGCGTTTACCGAAGCCTTAAAACTTGAAGTAGGACGCTTTCCTCCAGGGCTGAGACCCAGAGTCGTGCGGGAGCCTGCGTTTTTGATTGTGATGACATGCTGTACTCTGCCGCAAAACAGGAAATTCACACATGGAGGAGATTTGGGTCTTAGTTCGAAGTTGAAGAAAAAACTGCAAAACTTTGAAGACAGTAAAGCCCGCCCGCGAGGCAATTTCCCAATTTTCCGACCTTTTTTGATTCTGATTGAATTTTGTGGCATCGCATGCGCGATGACGTGTCGGAGGAATCCATTTGCATGGCACTGAAGTTCTACGACCTTGAGCTTGTCCGGGCATTGCCTTTAACATCCCTGCGGCGAGCCGAGCGATGTCCCCCGTTATGAAGGGCGCAGGCGAACAATGTTGCGACACTTTCGTTATTGGGGGGGGGGGGGAGGTAGGCCCCTGCACCCCACCCGCTGCAGGGGTGTTCATGCATACGGGCCCAAGAGTTGCATCCCTTATCTGTACTTATTTGCGCATCAGACAATCGGTTTAGATGGCGCTGAAGGAGTTCGGTGCAATATGGTATATGGATACTTCTGTGCGATGGAAACGTGATTGTCGTAAAAGTGTATACAATGAAATTACCTGTCGTAAAAAATTTAAGCCAGCACATTTCCCAAGGTTAGTTCCTTTACTGAGCTTGAAGATTTTCGTTAAAACTTTCGGTGATTCAAACTGAAAACGTATCAAGTCACCACGAAAAATACTGTGTAAACCTTTAAGTTTTATCTGCTTTGAGTACTTGGCCATGCTATTTGCGGATATTCTCCAGACAAGATGAACAACTTGACACTTAGAAATTAAAACTCGTTCTAGATTTCGACGAGTTCCAACATTTCTATCTTTGATGTTCGTACTCTTAGTATCATCATTTGTAATACGGCTTACCGCGTACATGACTTAAATAAAGTAAGAAACTCACAAATGCGCTCAAGGGAGGAGCTTTCGTCTGAATGCAGTTGATTATTGAATTAATTGTTGGTGGTGATAGGTTCCTGTCCAAATTGAAAGTGTGCTTTTTAGCTGGCTGTATTGTCGGGCTTTCTTCCAACACATGATTGGATACATTTTTTCCTTGTGTCTTGTCTTTGAATCTGGACTTCGTGTGGCAGTCAACAGCAGTACTTTTCCCTCTCGTGTAAATTTGAGCTCCGACCAGGTTTAGCAACTGATAACATTCAACGCCTTCTTCGGAGCCTGGATGCAAGTTCATAAGTGGCTCTCTGATCAGACGCCAAATGCTAAGGCCAAATAAAATTAAAAAGAAGATCAGTCTAGAAAGCAGAACCATTGTCAGAAGCACTTATTCTTAGACTAATACAAGCTGTAGTTGAAAGGCAGATCACCTGATGCTAAATAGTGCATCAGTCTTACTTTTATACACCGAAGTTGACCTCATGCAAAATCACAGAGAAATCGATAAGGTGCCAGTTTGATGGCGATCGCAATGCCTCATCCATTCCTTTTGTTTTCATTGTAGGCAATCCAAAATGCTTGCAACGTTTTGCAACTAGGATTCCAAACACAAACGATAAAATTTTTACTCCAACAGTATATCAGTAATCTCGTAGTGCGTATTCAAAATTTTGCCCTACGCGTAGTCTTCCTTTGGCCTAGGTTTCTGCAGCATGCCGTCGTCGGAGGCCTAAAAAGTATGCCACTCTGATTACAATCTTAGCCTCCTCGAGCTCGCCCACATTTGCCTAGAGTGGAGGCGAACTTATGGGTAGAGAGAAAATTACTCAACAGAATATCGGCATGTAGCAGTGCGAGCTGCTTCATATGTGCATTGACTGCGTCGAAAATCAGCAATCGTTGTCAACGGACTTCTTAGCTAGGATCGACAATTTATACTTTGCAATACGTTGAACTGCATAGGACTTCCAGTAGTAGATAGCTACTATCTTGTTGTTGAAGTCTGCAGACAAGGAAATAGGACGCTATAAGCAATTCCTCGTTGTAATGCTGCACTCAGTGTTGAACCCGTAATTGCTCATTTCTATGCCTTTCTATTAGACTCATCATGCTCTACCGTTCTTTGCTAGCCTCTCATTTACGCTCGCGCCTTTTGGCCGGCACTTTCACCTTCCTAATAGTAGTAACGCAAGGAAAGCATCTTGGAAAGTTATGATGTTGCACCAAATATACTACAAGCACACATCACACTACACCTACATTGTGCGCATCATGTGAAACGCACAGTAGTCCGAGACATGATAAAAACGGAGAGTCATCACTGCAATAAGAAAATGCCTGTTGCAAGCACAGTAGACAAACAAATGTCGTCATAGTAAACATACCAGGAGGAAAACATCAAAGATCCGTAGTAACCCTAAGCTTAAAAGCACTATGAAATAAGTAAAAGTGCATGGGCTTGAATGAATGATTAGCAAAGAACGGCAGCATGTAAATCAAGGTATAGAAGTGAACACTGTCTAGTAGTATATTTGGTGCAACATTATAACTTTCCAAGATTACATATCCGCGAGAAAGGGCTTGAAGTCCTGTTTTTTTTTGCCCGCAGTCCTTCAACAGCAAGATGAATAGCTATCTACTACTGGGACTATAATGCGTTTGACGGGGCCAGCGCCGCGTAGTGCAGTCACACACTGGCGCGCCAGCGCTACCGTATGCGCAGCGTGCAGGGACCATGCTGCGCGCAAAATCGCGGGCCTTGTTTTTTGTCGTCGTATTTCGTCATTTTTTTCTGACTGCCATTTCTTTTTGTATTTATGCTCATCTGCGGTCATATACGATCTCTCTTGTTTCCAGATACGATTTTGTTCCTTGTAAAGGAAGGGAGTATCAAGCCTTTGTTGTTTTTTGAATGTATTTTGTGTGCTTGTGAGTGTTTTACATCACAATGGCATTTTCATCTATGCAGGGTCTCTTCGGATGGTCGTATGTTTCGATGTCATCATTCATTATATCGGCTCGTGTGTCACTGCATGTGATCTTATATCTTTAGGCTTGAAAGAGCAGCGCCAATGCGCTGATATCACACTTTCACGCTGGGACTTCGCATTCATGTCAGTTATTCATCGTGCGGTGCGTGTTATATGTTTTTCAAATAATTCTGTTGTTTTTCACTTTCTTTTTCTTTTCAGAAGTGTCTACGTTTCTCCCATATTCATCGCATCGCAGTAGTGCGAACACTTCTTGCTGCTGGTACCATTGAAGATGCGCCTGCAACTAAGGGTTGAGCGAGACTTCGCGGGGAAGCGGCGTACGCGGCGTACGCAGCGTACGCTCGGTATATTTCATCATAGGAGCATACGCGGCTTACGCTGCGTACGTCGCGTACGCCGCGCAGTCTGGCCCGACCCTAACTTGTACACGGTTTAGAACACTTTGTGACAGGAACTTGGAAGAGTAAGCGCTGTTTTTTGTTCAGATGTATTTCCACTGTTATAAATACTACTGTCTATTGTATAAATCATGCATGACAAGCTACAATTAACATACAAAACCGTTAATCTTCTAGTTCCTCCAAATCGAGGTCACTCTCTAGTTCTTCCAACTCAAGATCGCTCTCTAGTTCCTCCAGCTCCAAGTCGTCGATCTCGCTATTGTATTCCGAAAAATTATCTTCAGAAATCTCGTCGGCGAGGCTGTCGTCGTGCTGTTTTTGTCGCGCTGTATCTTCCTGTTTACGAGCTTCACGGAACCACGATTCTGTCAGTGATGAAGGCACGTTGGCCAACCATTCCACTGCAACTGTTTTAACCCAACAATCAGTTTTGTGAAGAAAACGTAAAAGCAGTTGATTCTCTTACCATCTCCAGTCTGTCGGTGGTCTTACCGTGTTTGGTGAGATGTGCTTTCATTTGTCCCCAACATAACTTTATGGTGTTAAACATGCAGTGGAATGGAGGCAGTCTTATTAATTTAACGCCCAATTCACTGCACCTACGGTCAACCGCGTACACGCGGACATCGCTCAAACCACCTTCCGAAGCTATGAAGAGTTGAAGCTAAGGAGTTAGAAGAACAACTACTGTATCCGATGTGAAAGTGAACGAGAAATTACCTCTGCCAAAAAACTGGATTTTGTGCTCTTATTGCCTATTGGCCTCCTTTTGCTACCAGATAATAGCTTATGCATTGGTGGAGCGGGCCGTGGAAACTTTGAGTAGCTGTCCACTGTGATATGGGGCGTTATGATTAGAGTTATGCGCCTCTCTCCTGCCCACTCTTGCATATGTAGTATTGAGTCCAGCCACTGCTCAAAGAGTTGGTGGTCCATATCTTGGTGGTTATCATATTCTTTTTGCCACAAAGGACCCGCTTGGTGCAGCCTGGTAGTATGCCGTTCTCAGCCACAGCTCCAATAACTACGGCCCTTTGGCCCTCATTTTTCCTGCACTTCTCCCGTAGGAGTATTTATCGAACATCTTTTTTGGGGCGAAGCGAATGTTGTTCATTCCAACATCTTTTTTTGACCATCCCTCCAAAAATCCATGTATCGTCCATATATAAAGACAATCTCCACAACTTCGAGCTTTGCTGATGTCGGACAAGTACTTCACACGCTTTGCGACTAAATCCGATCGCTCAAATATAAATTTTTGCCCCCCAGTGTTTATTTTGTAGGAGAAACCAAGTGCTCAAACGAGCACATAGAGGGTGGTTGCGAAAACCGAAAATTTTCGTGTTCACCATAGTTGGCAGTGCAGGTCAGTGATGGTGACGTCTTCTTCGTTTCTAAGTTTCTCATTTATTGCTTTTTTTATAACTTCGCCCCGCTCTTCTTTGTGTAGTGTAGTTAGACGCCGCTGTTTTCTGCTTACAGCAGGCTTCGTGCTTTTTCCTGGTCGATGATGCAAATTTTGCGGCGTTCAACTGACCGTGCTCGCAGAAACATCGCAAGCCAGTGCCATTAGATCTCCGGGTCTGTCAAAAATTGCATGGGCACATGTACGCTTCATCGCAAGTTCTAATTTTTCGAAGAATTCTCTAACACGGCTGATAACAGCTTTCGCTTGCGGGCTGAGTTTGTAGCGCTGTCTGATGTTGCGTGTTCTTGAGCCTTCTATCGAGTGAATGAGGCCAATACGGCTGATAACAGCTTTCGCTTGCGGGCTGAGTTTGTAGCGCTGTCTGATGTTGCGTGTTCTTGAGCCTTCTATCGAGTGAATGAGGCCAATATAGCGACGCTCGCAAGTAGTACCTTTTCTTCGTGTGTCACTCGTGACCTTAGTAATCTGAAAATCGGTTTTCTTGTTTTTCTGGATGGCTATCATTTCATATAGGATAGAACTGTGTACAGTGGAAAAGCACACAGAATCGTGCCAATTTCCGATAACAAAGTCTGCAAGAACCAAGCAGAACACCAGTGCGAGGTCATGAGGGTGAGGAATCTTTTCATAGTTTTCACACTACAGCATCTGCGCTGGCGAGCGCTGGTAACGATTACGAATCGAAGTGATATGTAATGGATGAATTGCTCTTAGGTTTGAAAATTGGGTAACAAAAAAGTAATGATCAAAAAGTCTCAGAAAACCTGCTAAAATCCCTACCACTGTTTCGGAGCGATATGAGACGTGTTGAACCTCTGTCAGACTGAGGGGACACTCAGTTGCGGTAGGTTTTGTATGCTCAAACTCAAATTGAGTATCTGCGTAGGAAAGTGATGATATAGAGAAACCGAGGAAAAACATGAGTCTGATCACTTACGCAACGTAGCTTTCTAGTGGTCTCGATTATGTTTGGAATCCGTATATCAGCAAGAGGTTGTCGCTACAATACGGAATTTTCGGCAATGATTACGCAGTGTCGAAAAACGTCATCACACACAAGTTGCTCAGAAATGAAGTCTAGTTTGTAACTCACCTTTCTGACACAAGTCATTTCCCGAGATGTGGATGATGATGACGATTTCTGGAATGATTTCTATCTTTGGAAGCATTGATTCAGTAATTCTGTGTACTTAGCATCCGCATACAGCAGCGATGTTGATTACGCAAAAGTGATGTATCACCTCTCACCCCCACACACCAAAAACTCCGATCATCCCACCCTCGAGACTTATGATTAGGGTAGAGAGGGATAAACATAGGGAAAAGTCAATGCAGTAAGAAAAGGGGGGCATACCATTTCAGAGCGGAGAAGCGCAGCAGTGGCTTTGATTTGTGCAACGCGAGGGCTACACTGAAGCATCTGATGGCATGTATTGGGCTCATTAGAATAATGCGGAAGCTTACACAAAAAAATTACCTGTGGCTTCGGCAAGGAGGAAGGGCACCAGTCATTTTCACGGTTCTTAAATAAGTTGTTTCAAAATACATCTTTTTTTGACTTCAAACCTCAATTGTCCGATCGCGCGATTATACCTTGAGTGATCTTGGGAAGTCCCGAAGCAGAGTTTTAAATAGAAAAAGCTCAGAACTTTAGAAGCAGGACAGAGATTAAGCTGAAAAAGAAGCAGGAAGGGTAACTAAACCAAGGACTACGCCGTTTTGCGCGGCATGGTCCCTGCACGCTGCGGCATAGATGGCGCTCGCGCGCAGGTGTGTGACTGCACTACGCGGCGCTGGCCCTGCATACGCATTGTATAATCCCGTATTTAACGTATTGCAAACTATAAAATTGTCTGCCTTGATTAAGCCGTTCGCTATTTCACGACTGCTCGTTTTCGACCGCAGTCAATCGAGCACATATGAAGCATCTCGTACGGCTACGTACCGGTGACTGGTGAGTAATGCTCCCTCTATCACAAACTCGCTAACTCCACTCGGAACGGGTGGAACGGGAGAATTTATTTGACGAACTAAGGTCCTAAATTAAAACGGCAGTTATCTTCCTAGCCTACGACGGCGGCGTATTCCCAAACATAAGGCTATATTATATTCTTAGTAACAGCAGCTATTGAGGTTGACTGATTAAATCTAGTTTGCTGTAACAAAAAATTCTTCAGGACATCTTTATTGCTACACTACGCCAGCCTGTTCAGTCATTGTGAAATGTTAACACAACTAAACGTCATCCCAAGGGTATAGCTGCGAAACCTAGGGCTCTCTCTATTGTTGTTGAGCTCAAATGATAATCACATGTCAACATAGGTATGCATACTACATGTAATTCGCATCCGAGTTCAAATGGCATTAAATCAGTAAAGAAAACAAATAAAATCTACTGAGAGTACCACTGCGGATCAATGGAAGAGCCTTTTACTTTCCATGGGCTTTCATTCGGCATGTACGATGGATAACATGGGTCTGGTTACTTAGCTTCCTTTCTCACAATTCACTTTTCAGGCCATTTTTGCCCACTGGACCGGCCAATTCGGGATGTAAGAAGGTAGTACATTAATAGTTTCGTCGATCAGAATTTTCAGTCCTTTTCAACGTCAAATGCGTGCAGATGACCGCGCTATCGCTATATCGCTCTAAACAACGTTTTCATACATGTCTGGCCCGAGGGTGTCAATCAGTTTGTTTGTCTATGTTTAGCATCAAAGAGCGTAAGCAGTTGTTCATTCATATACAATACTGCTCACAGAATATGCAAAACTTCCTTGAATTCGCGGAATTCTGGGAATTCCGTGGAAGTCCGCGATATCCCCGGAATTCCGCGACATTCACGGAAGTTTCACACATTCTGCGAGCGGTATTGTATGGTGCGGAACAAAAGCGCTAAGTAGCCGCTATTGCATCTCGAACTTAGCTCTGAGCAGCATGTTTTAATACCTACACTGTAATTCAGCTATTTTTTTCAGCCAGCTTACATGCTTCATTCTCCTTCGCATCACAGCATCTTTGCCGCGACTCATCCAGGTAACGAGATATTTCGCCTTTTTTTAAATTGATATGTAAAGAGTTACCTTGTGGTGAATTAACCGACGTTTGAGAACATCAATTTCCTATAAAAGCTGTGTGGCAGAGTAAAACCTACACTCTATGCGATATGAGCAGTGCTCAATACAAGACAAACCGAAATTAAGATGAACCGATTCATACTCCTTATCTACAGCCAAAACGATATGCATTGGCCGCCACTAGCGAACAAAAGTCCTTCGATTATAGTCAGGATGAAAAGGATGAAAACAAAGTACATGATGTAATAAAGCTCATACCTTGTAATCAAGGCATATTGTGCCTGATCACTTGAATACCGTCTTTTAGAACGGATTTGAAGGTGCGCTAGGTGAATGCTTTAGCAACCACGTGTCTTGTATAACGCTTGTTATAGCTTATGGCGTGGTGTCAATCTAAGCCATTCGCTTTTCAAACCGCAATCCCACATTCTAATTGTAAAATTTTTTTTGAATTTCTTCTACAGTAGGTTACGGCTACCGGAGCGTCGAATTCTTTGTGACTGATCGCAATGACTCATTCCAGAGGGCACGGCGGATGATTTGCTTATTTCGTCCATAAGCATGTCATTTCGCACATAAGTATGTCATTTTGTCCAAAAGCGGTTGTGTGTAAGGTAATTCTTTGCTAGAGCATATCAGTGATCAAGGGCCAATTCAACTACTGTTTTCCTTTGGGCCAAAATTCGAGCAGAGTATTTTATTTTACAAGGTAACGGTAAAGCTGTTCTAAATTCGTCACAAAAGCGGATAAATGTCACAGAGAGTAAGAGCTTTCAGTCACATAGATAAGATTGGTACAACTTGGTTCCCGAAACTTTTTGAGGACGAAATCATTTTGACTCCGCCAAATTATTACGATTTTACGACATTTTTTTTAGTTTGCTCTATGTCACGCACAGCTTCGGGGCGAGAGCGAAAGTTTGTAGAATGATACTGGTATAATGCGAAAGTGCGCTTGAGTGCCCTTCTGGGCTGAACTCTAATCCGTTCCTCCGCGGCCCACAGTTAACGATGACATCCTCGTTGTTTGGTGGCGCAGTTTAGAAGAAGGATTGACATTTTGAACTCTGGTATTTGGCTGTGCTATTCCCACAAAAGTAAATATATACTGAAAACTTTTAGAAATACAAACGAACAAACAACAATTTCCAGCTTCTTACAAGCGTGAGCTTTTGAAAAATGTCGAACCCAACTTTTATTGCTTGGGATCTTCATGTTACCCTCCATATCGTTCGGGAATCAGGGCTCGTAGAAAGCTGAAATATTGTGATTGTTCTGCTTAGGGGCAGCGTCCATCCAGATTCTCGCCTTTGGTGTTTTTACCATTTCTAGGCCTGCGTGGCCCTGATTCTGAGGGGTTCTAATTACGTAAAACGGAAAACGTTTTCTAAAACCTTTTTTGACAAGCGGACGAGTGTTTCGGCCCCATTAACATCGTAGACAATACCAAATGTAGTCGTATACAACAGAGATATACTGCACAGTGAAAGCCTCTGTGCATGCCACGTCAAAACGCGTCAGGCAATCGTCCCGATGGGCGGAGCGTCGGAATTGTCTGAAGGAGTCTGTGATTTGCAATTTTTTTCTTTTTGAAACAACATCAGAGGACGGATCAACGCAGCTGTTCTACTTTTAGAGCCTGCTTGTACACTGTATGGTTATTTGAGTAAAATGGATTTTGGGTGGATGCTGCGTTCAAAGGCTATGGCGACCTATAATTTATGTTCCAAGAAAATTTTTCCTTGTAAAGTCGTGTCATTTACAAACGCATCCAATATTGGGGAATTTTTATAATCTGAAAGCTCCAAAAATCAGTTGCCATCCGACATTATTTTACCAAACAGAATTTACTCCCTTGCAATATTTGAGATTCCGACATAGTTTTTGAAATATTCAAAAGTAATTTTCAATTTGACTTTTTTCATCCATCAGGAAATATTAATATAACTTTTATGAAATTTCAAATTGAAATTTTTGAAAACTTGGAAAAATTTCAAAATTGAGATCCAATAACTGCAGTGCTCTAATTCATGAGCTGAAACCAATAAGTCTCCAAAATTGCTGCTTTTTGTGCTGCTGCTTAAAATGTTTTGTTCAGCCTTTGTGATTTAGCCAATCCTTCCCAGGTGAACGGTATTAATTAGTAATTATAATTAGCGGAGGGAAAGCGGGGGGGGGGGGGGGGAGCAGAGGGAGAAAGAGAAAGACGCAGGCAATAGAAGCAAAGAAAGACATAAGTTCTGATTAGTCGAAGCAATTTCTATCAGTCAAAGTGTCTACCTCCTATTCCGAAATGGCACTAGTGGAGATGTGGTCACCAGCTACTATTTCTATTCATTTGATAATGCAGTGGCTACTAACTAAAGTACTTAAGTACCAATGAAGTGCTAATAAACCCTACGACTTCGTTACTACGATACCGTTCATAATTCAAAAAGTCGCCGAGGTGCGCTGCAATGCGCCGGAGTGCGGCAGAGTGCGCCACACTCAGAGCAGCGGAGTGCCCCGCACATCATTAGAGTCCGTCGGAATCCGCGTCGCATCGCCATATCGCTTCAGAATGGGCGAAGTTTGAATCCGAGGACACCGTTCGATTCAGCTCGACAAGACGCATCGCAAAACATAAATATTAGGTCATTTGGGAAGTTTTTTCGCTTTTTGCGCCTTTGATGTTGGTGCCATGTTTTAAGAGAGTGCCAGAGGGCTGATAGGGGTTGCTATATATGGATCCGTAGAGGAAGTTTTCTAGTTTCTAATGACCTCACCGAAGTTGCAGAAAACGCTTTACGCGGCTCTAAGTTCGACATATGAAAACGCGATTCATGAATGATTGTATTCTCTAAGCTTAAACTTGAGCGTAAGACCGTTGAGAAACATTGTGCGCAATGAATTTGCCAAGACCACGTTTTTCTTGAGGTAGGTTATTTCAGAAAGTTCAGATTTAGAGAAGTGAAAGCTAATATTTTGCTGTGTCCTGGAAGGTGTTCCTGCCATATAAACGAGCATCTCAAAGGGTCCTTTGAAACAAATCGCAAATATAGCTGCGTAAAATTATCAGCAGGCCCTGAAGTGTCATTTAACCCTATTAGGAGTCACATTCCCTAAAGCTGCAATACCGAAAAGTTTCAGCGACATGTACCCCACAAATTGTCGCACTCGCAGATTGAGGGCCCATTAACTCTGCTTTCGTCGCTCATAATTTTATGTAGCAATCCTTTTTCGGCCTGTTAATTACAGCAAAAAATTGGCCAAGTACGGCTACAAGAAGCGACATTGTGGTAAATCATTTGGAATAAGCTTTGAAAGCATGGCCAGAACAGGCAGTCATTCCAAAAGGTTGATGTACTAAAATTAATGTAATCCTGCTGGTCTTGTACGCTACAAGCTTGCTAAGATGCGATTGTACTGTAAGAACAGAGTAGTGTGATGTCGCTCTGAAGACCGTTTGTCAAAATTTTGGAACTGAGCAGCCTTGCACGTATAATCTGTGAAAGATGCCATCCACGCCCACGACTCCGCCAAACCACATGTAAGAAAAGTGGTTCTCACAAAAGGGGTTGACTGCGCACCGAGGTTCCTGTTTATTTTTCAAACTCTTTAGACCTTTTTACCAGTCACCGAATCCAATTCCTCGGTGCCTATCAAAAAATAATAGAATCTAATAGAGATTAGCTAGTCAAAAACTATTTTTTTAGGCTTTATTGATTCCTTTGAGATTATTCCGCAAGGAAAAAGTACAACAGGACTACATTTGTGTTACCAGAAATTTGCTGAACACAATGCAGTTTATTTGATGGAAAAAGGTTGAATCTGGAAAAAATTGTGCTCGTTTGAATTTGGAGGTGCTAAAACGAAAAAACTTTCCGAGTGACCTAATAGAATGACACAATCTAACAGGGTACGACAGATATGCGGTAGACAGTAAGTTCTCGCTCAATTTTGCAGATTATTGTTTGGTTGGTGTATGGTAGAGCATTGCCATGATTTGTCGCTGATGACACTTAGGGGTATACTATAGGAGTATGGTAAGGAGTCACTCTGGTCGATTTGTTCTATAGCCGGTTCAAGGTATAATACCGCTCACAAAATGTGCAAAATTTAAGTAAACTTCGCGGAATTCTGGGATTTTCCATAATAGTACTTATTCTGTAGATATCGAGCGCTAAAAAAAGTAGTCACATGCGTTTCTCTAATGGAGATATAAGGACCGGGAAGTTATTCCGGGAAGTCAGCGATATTCCAGAATCCGCGGAATCACGCGAATTACGCAGAATATGCAGCACCATAACTTCCTTCGGAATGAATTTCTGAATCCGGAAGGAGCACTGTGTTCAGCTCGTCAAGGCCAATCTTCTGATGTACAGAATGTCCTCGATATTCCTTTTCCAGTTTTCTCGAATTCTTCTGTGGAGGTCCATTCGCAAGGATGTAACATAGCGTCTGTGTAACTTAAGAAGTGAGCAATATGCGATACTACTTTTTTTGTAGGTTATATTGTGCCAAAATGTTGCTGCAGACTATCTTCCAAAATAGGTAGAATTGGTGAATTCTGGAAAAATTACACGGTTCCAAATTCTACTCGCCGTAACTTCCTTCAATGAATTTATTTTGAATTCGAAAAAAGCATTGTGCTCAGCTCATCAAGGCAAATCTTTCGATATACAGCATGTCCTATTCCGATTTCAGTATTCTCAAATCTTTCTGTGGACGTCTTTTTGCAAAGGTGTAAAGTAGCTCGCATTGCCCCTAGTAGACTCCAACAAGGATCGATAGTACTTATTTTGTAGATTATCGAGCGCTAAAAAGTAGTCACAGGCGTTTCTCTAATGGAGATAGAAGGGCTGGTAAATTGTAAAAAAAATCTTTCGTCCCTAATTCTACTCGTCGTAACCCTAAAATACGGAATTATCTTGCTAAGGAGGTATGAGTTTTGTAATAAGCAGGTCGTTAACCCTTATAAGCAAGTTCTCAGAGAACTTTGGATTATTTGATTTTTTTCTCGTTTCGCGCTCTAAAGCTCGCCAGCGGCTTTTGGTCGAAATGTTGGTAATCTTGGTTTGGAAGGAAACTCTGCTCATAGATGTTTTCGAACACGCTGTTTACGAAAATCGTGGCCTCTGTAAAGTATAGGGTCTTTTTGCGGAGATATGGTGAGATGACTGCAACGGATTCACGAAAGCTCGTAACTTCGCTTGCATCTCTCGCGTAACTGTCGGAATACTTGCTGCTTGCTTATAAAGGCTGAAGTTACTACGAACCGTGCCATCGATTGGTGCATGTCTCAAGCTCCAGTCTACAAAAATCGCCGAGTTACGAGCCTAAGAAAACACGTCCTCTGCATTTTGCCCAAAAAGATTATATACTTCGTCAAAATTCCACCGTGACTAGTTATGACAGTTTGATTGTAATTACCATGTTCACTTTGTCCAAGGGATCCCGCTGTATTAAATATGGTGGTTGCGTGTGCTTCAGCCGCTGAACTGAATATCAAAGCAGCTTCGTGGATAAAGCTTAGATCTATCTAACAGTCCAAACAACATAAGGAGATCCATTAGGCGATGTGAACAAATTTGATCAGCGTTTTATACAATCATTCACGGTGGAGTTATTGTATTGAACTTCTCTGAAAACTTGCTTAGAAGGGTTAACGACCTGCTGATTACAAAACTCATACTTGCTTAGCAAGATAGTTCCGTATTCTAGGGTTACGACGAGTAGAATTAGGGACGAAAGATTTTTTTTACAATTTACCAGCCCTTCTATGTCCATTAGAGAAACGTCTGTGACTACTTTTTTTAGCGCTCGGTAATCTACAGAATAAGTACTATTATGGAAAATCCCAGAATTCCGCGAAGTTTACTTAAATTTTGCACATTTTGTGAGCGGTATTGTACCTTGAACCGGCTATAGAACAAATCGACCAGAGTGACTCCTTACCATACTCCTATAGTATACCCCTAAGTGTCATCAGCGACAAATCATGGCAATGCTTTACCACACACCAACCAAACAATCTGCAAAATTGAGCGAGAACTTACTGTCTACCGCATATCTATCGTACCCTGCTAGATTATGTCATGCTATATATGTCTTGCGATGCGTCTTGCCGAGCTGAATCGAACGGTGTGCTCGGATTCAAATTTCGTCCATTCTGAAGCGATATGGCGATTCAATGCGGATTCCGACGGACTCTAATAATGTGCAGGGCACTCCGCTGCTCTCCGGCGGACTTTAGTGAAGTGTGGCGCACTCTGCCGCACTCCGGCGCACTGCAGCCACTCCGGCGCACTGCAGCGCACTCCGGTGATATTTTTGACGAACTATGAGCTGTATTGTACTTTTAGGTTTTTTAAAGTACTACAATAAATCTCTCTTGAAAATCACAAAACGCATCTCACTTTTTAGGGATGTATAGTTATATTCCAACAGACATCGAAGCTATTAAGAAGAATGAATCTATGAATTACGATGCTAACTTCCAATTCATCGTCAAGACTACGGACGCCCTCGAAATACTGAAATGGTGACTTCATACTCATCAAACCAATTTCTTTACTGTTCCATGGTCAACTCTCGTTGAATCTTGGCATATCGTTATAAATGCTGATGTTGCTGTTGCCGGCACCAAGATTGTTAAACCGTCTGTTCGGCTAACGTTTCGGCCTGGTCGCCTTCAGCAGAGCTATAAAACATAGAGCATTTGGATTTATCCCGTCAGACATCTCATCACTTGCAGGAAAAATCTGGAAAGTTGACTAGACTCCTGTTTAAACCTAATAATTCACCTTAGCCGATAAAAGTCATCAGGGACCATCGCTGGTTAATATGCGCTGTGCGATAAATAAAATCTTCCCGGGAGTTGAGATCAAAACTTGCATAAATCCAGGAACGGCGCAAGCTCAGTTGTTATGGTGCCGTTCTGCCTTCTCTTCGCTTCGCATGAGATGAATAAAAATATCAGGGCATGTATGCCAGAATCAGGCCTGCAGAACTCGTTGAGAGTCGTTGAAATTCCTCCCCCCCCCCCCCCAAGTTGAGACAGCATTGGTGCGAATCAGAGCACACGATAGGGCATGCAACAACAAATACGGGATCGCCACTATGCCAGGATCAAGGAGCACATGTATGGGTTACGAAGTTCACGATTGTCAATCCCTTGGGCACCCACCGCATGCTGTGTCAGCAAAACGTAGAGTTCGATATCGTTAGCATACTATCGAGGAAGTCTGAGGTGTCAGCGCGAAAGGCTCTTGAGGCATGCTGGATTTTGTCCAGAAATCCTAAAATGAATCGAAAAGATGAATGCATCGCCGTTACCTGAGCTCGCCCGTTCCTGGATTTATGCAGGTGTTAATTTCAACCTCCGCGGACCGACCTCAGTCATCGCATAGCGCATATCAGCCAGCGGTGGTCCCTAACGACTTTTATCAGCTAAGATAAGCTATGTTCTAGGTTTAGACAGGAGTTTAGTCTACTTCCCAGATTTTCCTGCCAGTGATGTGATGTTTGATGCGACAAATCCAAATGTTCTATACTGCATAGGCTCTAAAAGATGACGAAGGCGACTAGGCCGAAAGGTTAGCCGAATAAACGGTTTAACAATCTTCGTGCCGGTGACAGCAACTGCGCATTTATAACGAACTTATTCACTTGCTTTTGTAGGTATGTTTTATGCGCACTCGAAAAAGAGTGCATGGCACCTTATGCAGCCAGGGTATGGTGCGACTTCAAAAACGATCAATATTACAGATACGCGGGATGTCACAGGTATTTATACAAAACTGCAATTATGTAAAGACCGCTCTAGTACGTCCTTCAGCAAAAGCTTGAAATATGACTTGGCAATAATTAGGTATAATATAGTAGTTTAAATGTATGTAATGAAGAGAAAAGTTGAAAACTTCAACTATCTTCGCATGATCTTGGATGCTTTTATTATAAAAGTAGCTTCAGTCTAGGTCTACAAGCTCTTTACTAATGCAAGATGATTGTAGAAATTTTTGATAGAGATTCCTGACAGTTTTCTACTGTAAATCTAAGTCAAGACATTTCTTCCACTCTGCAAAAGATGAAACACGAAATTGTAAATGGTCAAGTACGCTTTACTGGTACCCTCTGATAGTAAATTCCTAATCAGTCTTTAGTCAATCAGTTCGCTATGTCGATCATCTGTATATGTAGTTTACATTACTTTTACGATCATTAGTCACTAATTTCCAGAAAAAGCATCTTCCTCGTCAAGGCGTTTATTGCAGGTACGACCAATCCGCCATCAATCTACTTCTGGCCAACTCATATGGGTATAACATAGCAAATTACGTAAGCAATCTCGGAGATGGAGCAGTGATCGATCGCAGTGCCAAGAGTGGCTTAACTGAAGAGGATTTTTCATGCACGGAACGAGTGGTTCACAGTTAAGAAGAAAAGCCAGCGTATTCCAATAATTATGACAGTAATAATGACAGTATTACAAATCAAGTCATTTTGTCCGTCTCGGCTTTATATGTGAAAATTGAAGTAAAAAGTCATGGGTGGTTCTTCTCAAATAATTAAAATAATCATACAGACTTCCTTCAGTATAGCATATAAATACCTGCACCGGTTTGAGTACCTATTTATGTCCCTTATGCGGTCCTATCCAACTGTGCTCGCGTTTTCCAACAATGGGCTGTCTTGAAAAATGAAAATAAACTTATTGATAACTAGCTGGCTTACCCGGTTTCGCACGACCCTATCATAACACTGCGATAAAGGTCCCATCCCCCCTGCAGCTCCTTTGCTTGAAGAAAGCGGAGGAGAAGGTAAGTTCTGCTGCGAGCATACGTGCTGGAAAAGTCATCTGGTAGGAGACTTCCTTTCGAAAAAGCCATCTACTAGATTTTCAAATCAGTCACAAAAATGAGCATGGTCTTCCTCAAAACACGGTCCTCTAAACCTTGCTTGCTCGCACTATTAAAGGGTAGGAAATTATGGGATATAGGTGTCCCAATCGTCGTTTAACAATTTTACATAAGAAACGAAGTTTTGTAAAATCATTTTCGCACGTCAAACAGAGTGTCTCAGTTTGTTACTCCTACAAAGCTGGACTTGTGCGCATGCACACAGACTTCAACAGCTTATCTTGAAGCTAAAGGGTCAAAAAATGGTGTGTGAAGAATGTATCCGTTGCGAACTCGGACGAAAACCCTGTAATAATTAGCGGCCGAGAGATATTCAAATCGATAAGACTTCGAATACCACTAACTGTTTATACACGATTGCCATGCGGACTTGTAACTCGAAACCAATACAAACACCTCAAACCGGGGTAATTAAACCTTTACTTTGCTTGGAGTGAACGATAAAAATGACGAGCAAGATAAATGTAATGCAAATAACTGCCAAAAATAACAACTAGTCAAATAAATGATCAACAGAAAATAGTGTAAGGATAATGCTTGCAGAAGTAAATCTTGCTCATTTCCAATACTTGTAGATCACGACCTCAAAAGTTATCCAAATGTTGAATCGAAATTCCTTTCTAGTCTACATGAGAAAATTATTGACTTGTGTAAAGCCTAATGATGAAAGGATGAGATTGCAAGTGGTAGCTTCCACAGTTTTGCTACTACACAAAAAGCTGTCAAGAATATCTTGTGATAGGAAAAGTGAAGCCATCGGCATCAAGCCGGATAAGTCAATTTGACTTTCGACTTTTCAATTGGATTCCGCCTCTGCCATGCATTTCGCTACCATTTGGTGCAGCTGCCGCCCTGAATCACACGGTCGCGCTTTTTGATGATTGAAAGTAGAGTTGCAAGAACGAGGATGCTGTATCAGCTTGCGTGTTTTCACTTATTTTAATGTAGAGACTGACATAAGCTACAGGCATATTAGTCGCCATGATGATATTTCAGGAAAAAGATATTACATATTGTAACGCCTATATTTACTGGCCATCCTGTAGTTGGAATGGGAGGATCAAGAACGAGACTCAAGTTTTTACCATACTTTGTTTGATTGTGCTTGAGAGATTCTTTCTATTGAAGCACTATTGTTGATGCAGGGAATTTGTTGCACCTGTAGCTTCCGCTGATTTGAAACTGTCGCATATGCCCTTGTTTCTCTTGCACGCTAGTCCAACCACATTTCGTTCTGCATTTCTCCCAGGTTACTCGAATCCCAAAATGGCTATTCCAAATCACATTAGCTTCAGCCAATTCGGTCGCTTGGTGACGACATTTTTTTCTCTAGAGATTGTCTTTCTTCTCCCTGTGGCCATGAACAAAATATTTATGTTCCCTCATTTTCTGTGACATTTATATTTCATCATCTTCAAACAAAATTACTCATTGTTCACTTTCTGCTCGTCTTCTGGAAAGTTTTTTCACATTCAAGTTCTGTTGCTCACGACATAATTCACATCATCCACTGTACTCAACGAGAACCTAGTTATAGGGGCCTGCATGATCGCGAAAGTCGGACGTGCGTACGGTCATTGCGCCGCGCACGTCCGATGTGCGCCTCAGGTAGGTGCCAGATTTACTCTGTTCAAAAGGTTCATTCGGTTCACCACCTTTACTGTTGAATAGGGCGGTGATTTGACCTACAAACCGGAAGAACCGGTTGAGCCGGAGAAGTCTGGCACCGGCCTTGGTGACATCGGACGTGCGCGGCGCAATGGCCGTACGCACGTCCGACTCTCGCGATCATGCAAGCCCTTATAGAATCTTCCTAGATGTGCTTTTTCAATTATTTCGTAAATGTAATGATGTACAATATGAACTTTGTTACCTCTGCTTGGGCCTAAACAAACCATGCAGCCAATTCTGCTTTATAAATCCACTCTATTTCTCAGCTTTTTCCTAATGCAATAGACGCAACACAATTTATTATCATATCGAACTTCTGCCAGTTTTGAGCTATGGGGCTGGCATTTGGAGGGGTGGAAGTAAGTGAGCGTGCTGAGGACAAAACATAATGATGGGAGAGAACTGGCATATGATAAAAGAGGGACTTGGAGAAGAGATGTTTTACAGATTTAATAAAGACTATTATAACTTTTTTGCAACGGAGAGAGCGAAGCCAGGTACTCAAGCCAGTGATCATCAAAAGTGAAATAAAGATCATATGACTTCAAAAAGAGATGAAAGCCGGGTTTGGTGGGCAAGGTGAAATTGCTTTTGCAGATGAGCGCAGAAAAAATATTGTAAGCATTGGTTTCACTGTGCGTTACGTGCATTGTTGATCTTACAAGGGAAGGATGCTAACTTAGATTCGCCTTTTGAAATGGGACACATAGCTTAGCATAGCGCAAACAGCAAACAGCATATTTGGAATCAGCTTTAAACGCTGATTCCAAATGTGCTGTTTCTAGCTGCTTAGCATTATTCCGAAGCGAGTTATGGACTTGCTGTTGTGAGTAACTAATGAGATTCTGAATTTCGTAAGACGGCGTGTATGTAAGAATCTGCTCGAAAAAAGTGCTAGGATGTTTAAATAGCATCAGACTAATTCTTTCGATCCTAAAAGGGAGCATTATACAATTGCAAAAGCACGACGTCGACACCGTAGTATCCGTAGGCCGAGGAGCACGCAAACTCTGCATAGAAAAGGGACCATAACTTGCGTCAGAATAATGCTGAGCAGCTAGGAACAACATATTTGGAATCAGCGTTCCAAGCTGATTCCAAATATATGTGTCATGTCTCAAAAGGCGAATCTAATTTAGTATCCTTCCCTTGTTAGTATTTCACGAATAAAATAAAGGAGCATCACCTCCAAATCATTCATTCGGCTAAGCGACTGAAACTGCTTTGCACACAAGATGTCAAGTGGCAAACTATGAGTAGTAGATCGCATGTAGAGACTTGTTAATTGATACACATACAGCTCGCTTCGAGAAGATGTGCCAAACGGCTCCGAGTTCTTAATCACAAAATAAGTTGTATATTCTCAATCTTACAAGTACTATATAGGATATTGGAAAACGTTTCGCGTACGTTTGATCGAACAAGACTTCAAATCTGTGCTTCAAAGATTTTGTGTAATCTACCACGTGGGATTAGAAAGCAAATTTGTTTAAGGATTCTAGACAACGTTGGCGACGGCGTCTCATGTGTCTCAGTCTCGAATAAATGATGGCAATCAGCTTATTCAAGTCATTTTCCTGCTTTCGATTCGCTGTAGCCTAGTGTTATCGATCTAATTCTTCTTATCTCTGCTTCACTTCGGTTATTGTTCAGACTAACTACGAGGGTTCAGGCTATTACATACTAATCGCTCACCAAAAGTCTGCCTGACAAAATCTATGGGATCTGGCACAAGCCCGAAAGGTGCGCCAGCCAAGCTCTAGCATTTTTGGCATGGTGAAACTTAAGGCGCATAATTCACAAAATGTACCACAAAATTGTGCGTTCTGTTTGATCTTCAATAACTCTTTCGCTTCAAAGTCTTTCGCGACTCTTCGGGCAAATTCGACTGCGGGAAATCTTCAATATCGCTGTAGGCTGAACGTCAAGCGTGGTTACCGACAGCTTGAGTCACGAAGCACCAGTGCTGAGCGGTTGAATCATAACCCACTGCTACTGGTTTAACCGTACACCAGACAAGCTCGCGGGTGTTAAGCTTACAGGGTATGGGCGATTCCGTGCAGTCGGACTATATTATTCTCTATAGTGCTGGCTTCAACTTGGATTTACAGTATGAAGCAATTCAGCGATCACTTCTCGTTACTGTAGGATCACGGTAGGAACATTCAGTATTATCATTGTATGAAAGGTCATCTGACAGAATTTTCAAGAAAAAAATCTGGAAAATTGTGTAGTAGGGTTATCATACACGCTGATTTCACCCCACTTTTTGAGAATTTCAAAGCTTTGTAGTGGTGAAATCGCAATTTTGACGAGCAATGAAAAAATAGTACTGAGAGTATACCTAAAACAATAGCTTGTGAAGGAAGCATTTGAGTGAAGTGCGAACTTCAAAAAATTAGTTGCTTCAACTCCTGGTACAAAAGTTTCTGGTTTGTCTGTTTTTCTTTGCTAGTCAAGTTATGGCCCAAAAGTTTTCTCGAAATTTGTACCTCAACCCTTAAAGAGAGATTGGTGATCCGTTTCATAATGTGCATCCGAGTTAGAGTCAGCTCTATAGAATGATACCTAGAGTTCTCGCAAGACGTCAAATCAAGAGAGTTCCTAACGACCAAACATTGCTTACGTTTTCTGGGACACCCTTATACATGATTTACTACCTGGACCTTGTAGTTTTACAGGTATGATGGGGTTCTCTAGCGCCCCCCTGTGATTTTCAATCCGTCATTGTCAAATCTGTTTCCTGTGCTTTGCTTAAGCCAGGTTCATACCGATCCGGAAGTTCCGCAACAGTCCCAGCTCAGTTCTCGCATTGTACTTGAACTGTTCGGGAACTGTGCTCAAAACCACTTGCGCTGCAGCCGCCTGCATGCGGTTTTAAACGGCAAAAATCGCACTTTTTTTACTTCCTGCGATGGTTGTTTGTATATCTTGCCCGTTTCCTTCTCATTCTTGCACCTTGCTTCCTATAGTAAAGAAGAGAATTCCAAAATCAAAGCTAAGTTCAGGAATGAAGCTTTTCCGTGCCTTTTCGTGCCTAAAAGATGATTTTCCTCGCGCGTCAATTCTTCTTCGTGTATTTCCGTAAAACATTCTTTCTGTATTCCAGGTCGCTGCAGTGCGTTCCAGCGGG